CTGGGGACTTCTGGGAGTTGAAATCCACTCATCTTAAAGTGGCCAAGTTTGGACAACACTGATCTAGAGAGACAGGGATCCTTCATACTCCCTGCTCCTCTCCTCTCACCTTCCCAGGATTTGCCCTTATCTCCAGGCTTTCCTTATCAGCCTCCAAAAGCCAAATGCCTACCCCCATGTAAGGCAGCAACTTGAACTGGGCTCCTCTGATTCTGTGGCTGAAAAGGAGCAATCTGACAGGCTGCAAGCCTGTAGCTGTCGGCCACCTGAGAATAGCTCAAACCTGGCACAGGTGATACCAACCTGGGGCCTAAACCTGGAAGAGCGCCAAGCTCTAAAACACATGATCAGTGATGTGAGGGTACCTGTAACCCTATCTCACACCCTTATCATTGTTATCTTGCCTGTAAGTAAATCTTTTCTGATACATCTAACATGTACTATACTGTCTTGGTATAAAGCCTATATTACATACATACATTATTAAGACACCTGTCAGAAACCAAATTCTCTAGTTGAACCCCAAATTTGGTTCTATTTACAGAATCAAAAAGTGGCCCTAAAATCTTAAAAAAGGGAATAAATAGTTTGCCTTTCAGGAACATAGATATTTTCCTGCCAGGTAGATGAATATAAAATATTGGTCAGTTGTTGATCTGCAATATACTGAAAATGCATTAAGGAAGCAGATGAACCAAAAGAAGATGAAAAGAAATTAAATACGGAGAAGTTGATGAAAGTAAGCCACATGTTTTAAGTTGTGTGACTTGTACCCAACAGCAAAGGCACTAGAGTCAGGAGTCAGTTTTTCTGCCACTTATTTTATTGAGACTTCCAGAAGAACTAACTCCAGTATGTCTGCAGTAATTCCAGCATATACAGGCAGCCCAAGATAAATGAGCAACAAAACTAGATCACTGTCATGCTTAATTGACCAATAATAACAATAACAACCCAATGCACTACACTTTGAAAATATTACCATTAGCACCATCAGTTTCAAAATATTTTTTTCCAAATCAGGGATATGTTACAATATGTTGTTGTTGCTGCTGTTTGTTTTTAAAAAAAGAATCCAAGGCAAAAGCTTGTAGTTTGTGCAAACTAGCACTTATCGAAAACTCCAGATACTCTGCTATAGGGCTGATAAGCTGCCTAATTAAATCATCAAGTTATTTATCAGGCATGTTATCTAAATAAGGCAACAAGCAGTTCTGACAATAATTTGTCATGTCAGTAGAACCATAAAAGGGCCATGCTAGGGAGAAGTTATGGTCATGTTGGCTGAGACGATGGGTGTTATTGTTAAAGATATCTAGAGGTCCCAGCCTGAGGAAGTTCAGCTCTCCTGACAGCCAGGGCTAGTGTAAAAGTTGCTTGAGTACTGCTTCTGAAGTGCCCATAGATGTATCTTGTGGCAGGCATACTCAGGAGCCCCACCCTCTTAATAACTTCTCCCACCCACGATCTGAGTGCCAGTGTTATCCTAGCTGAGGCTCCCTGCTGTGTCCTTCCTCCCTGCAATCGCCAGCTGCACATTTTCTGGCCTTAACACCCACATGCGTGTATGGTAGTTCTCTCAACAGAGAGAGGGGGTGGGGCTGTGCTGTCCTGAAACAGAAGCATCACCCCACCTTTGCCCTCCCACAACTGGCAAACAGGATTAGGCAGCTCTCATTGCAGCCACTGCAGTTCCATCTCAGCCTGGTTAGCTACTCCTAAGCTCACTGCCATGGCTGCAGTAGCAGAGACTAATCCGGCATTCCTATGGATTCCTGCTGGAGAGAGCCCCACTCCCCTACACACTATTCCACTGAGGGGCACCAGGGAGTTACCCTTGTTGGAAAGAATGGCAGGTGCCATGGCTTTTCCCTCTCAGACTAGGCCTTCAGGAAAGGTGTCCACTCGTGTCAGGAAATGCCTTCCCCTTTCAGAGCCCTAATATTCCAGGTGTCCCTTTGATTGGCCGTGCATTTCTTTCTCTAACAGCAGCCCTGGCTGTTGTCAAAGGCATAGCAGAGCATTTAAGTAACTTGTTCACAAGAGGCAGAGCAAACCAGCTAGGTAACACTCTATATTTGTCTATCTCAAGTATAAGATCGAAAAATTCTTTGGAGAGAGGGTCTGTGATTTTACATAGAAAACAGCAGATCCATTAGCCTTTAAAGGAACTAAGTTTACAAAATCTGTGTAGACATCAGTAAAATAATACATTTCTTTTTAGACTAACCAAAATATTTTAAAATGTTGAATAAACATTTCTGGTTTTATTGAATCAAAATCCTGACATAGGTCAAAAGGGTGGGATTTCACTATCCCTCAAATGATGCTTGTGTCCTGAAATCATAGTTCAAGGTTCAGATATAATTGTGAACTATGATTAATAAACTTGCAGTATACTGAAAGGGGAAGAGGGGGAGGGTATGCAAGAGTGATGCAGGTAAGACAGTGGCTCTTGCATATCTTAATGAGCACAAATATGTTTATCAGAAATAGGCCATTATCATGCTGATGAGGGAAGACTTGACTTAAAAAGAAAAATAACCAAGCTATTCAAAATAGCAAAATAAAAAAAGTTGAGGTTCCGAAAACTATTTTGCTATTTCTTCTACGATTTTCTCAGTTATTCTCATATCTAAGTTTGAGGAGTATAAAAAGAAGAATGAAAAGAACTTTAACTTCCTGTATACCGTGATTGGCATTAGAGTAAGAAGATAACAAGTCAGGCAGCACAGTTCTAAGGGCCTTGGTTATGGCTTTACAACTGACTCAGGTTTATCATCTACTAGAAATACAAGGCCTGGCATGTTTTATTCCTTAATTAGCAACTTGTCAAAAAGCCCCCAGAACCCTAGGCCCTATTTCATTCTTCAGACTTACTTTTTATTGGAATAATGAGCTGAGGAATGACAGGAAGGATCTTGTTTCCACCATGCTCCAACATGTCATGGATGCCTTGCCGAGCAAAAAACTCATAGGGAAATTGCATTTCACATAATCCATCGAAAAACAGTGGCAAATAGTGATGGTAGTCCAATTTCTCAATTTCCACCTGAAAATTCATACAAGAAAGAAGTAAATCTAAACTCAACCACTATGATGTCCTATTATAGTAATCTACAAGTTTCATATCAATGTCCTATTGAGCAAGACAAATGTTAGCATCCACTAGGATATCACGTGATGATGGCTATTCTGTTTTCCATTTGAATCAAAACTGAAAATAAAAAGGAAATTGATTTTTGATGCTTGTATTTCCAAATATTATTTGATATGAGGCATCCACTCATTCTGAATGGATAGATCCTTCTGGTGAGGAATAACATTGAGTCTAACAAGCAACTTATTATGCAAGACTGTCAAAACTCTAAAGCTGAAACTGAAAATGGAAGTGGTTTCCAACATTATATATTTCCAATAATAAAACTGGAATTTATGTTAGTGGAAAACTTCTAATTGTCCTAGGTATATATAACCACAATACAAAACTTTTCATTACTGATATGTTAATAAAAGCGTAAGATTAAACTGGATTCATTCAAATAGTTATGAAAACAACATTAATCACATACAGTATATCTGAATGGGTCCACTTTGATGTGATATATCAAGGAAATTATCTGATCAAAGGAATTGTGTGATAAATTTATGATCAAAATGCATTTCATAACATTCTACAGGAGAAAACAAACACTTTGATAGTGATAAGACAAAGTCAATTTGTTTATTTTGAAGTGATGAATGCAAAAATTGAGAAAAAGTTTCCTACTCTTTATTTATTTATTTATTTTCTATAGCTGCCCATCTCAACCAAGTGACTCTGGGCAGCAAACAATTCTAAAACAATTAAAACAATTAAAAACAATACAAAAATAAATATATACAGCAGCCAAGAAAATTATCATAATAATTATCAAAATAGCCAAGAGGTCTTTAATATATTCAGGGCCCCAGGCCTGGACACATAGCCAAATCTTTAAATCCCCACAAAAGGGCAACAGGGTCAGGGCCATCCTAATCTCTGAAGGGACGATGTTCCAAAGGGCAGGGGCTACAGCAAAGAAGGCACATGTCCTGGTCCCTGGCAGCCGACATTCCTTGGCTGACGGGACCCACAGCACACCCAGCCTGCTGGACTGAAATGGATGGGTAGAAACTATTAGGAAAAGATAGTCCCTCAGGTAACCCATCTCAGTCTCAAACCCTGGCCTAATCCCTGACTGAAAGGGGTCTAGATAATCTGCTTCATCCAGGGTCCTTTGAAGCTGCCATGCAACCACTCTCTCCATAACCTCTCCATAACCAAAGGGAAGGTTGGAAACTGGGTGAAAACTGTCCAGGTTGGTTGGGTTGAGCAATGACCACTTGAGGAGGGGGTGCACCACCACCTCAAGAGCCAGTGGAACCACCCCCTCTCTCAAGGAGGAATTAACCACCGTCCAGTCCCAATCATACATCCTCTCCCACACAGTTTTAACATGCCAGGAGGGACACGGATCTAACACACAAGTGGCTGAACTAGCAGTGTCAAGGCCTTGTCCACTTCTTCAGGTTCAGTGGGCTCAAACTCCCCCCAGATACCTGTATATGACTTGGCCCCTGTAACCTCCACAGACTCTGCCTTAAGGCCAGAGTCCAACATAGAGCAAATACAAGTGACTTTATCCACTAGATGTATAGCATATTCCTCACAGTGACCCTGTAGGTGAGCCTCAGTATAATTCCCTCCGAGGAGGGACCGAGTCACCCGAAATAGGGCTACTGGGTGACTGTCTGAGGATGCAATAAGGGCAAAATAATTACATTTCGCTGCCCTTACCACCACAAGAGAGGCTCTAATAGCAGTTCTAGCTTGTGTTCGGTCATCTTCGTTCCTCGTCTTTCGCCAGTGGCACTCTAGGCATCTCTTAGCCCTTTTAAGTTCCCTCAGCTCTTCTGTATACCACAGAGTGTGTCGGGAACCACGGGCACGGAGACACCATTGAAGCGCAATCTGATCCAAAACCACAGCCATTCTACCATTCTAAGCAGCCACCAAAGCTTATTGAACTTTCTTGGCCTTTTAATTATAGTTTAAGCATTCCAATCATGAAGAACATCTTCCTTCTAGTATTTATTCCATCTTGTTGCAAAACGTATTTTAAAGAATTCTGATGGGTAAGCATATCCCTTATAGGTTGATTAATTTTGATTTGAGACAACGAAGCTCATTTTATACAACTCTGAAGTGAAGTTTAATTTTGCTTCATATAATTAAAGTAGACCACACTGGTTTACCACTATTACTAAGTATTTCTCATTGCCTAGATAACTTTCATTAAGGTTACTTTTAATACATTTCTGTTTTCTAAGTCTTAATTGACAGAGCACTAACCTAATTTTTCTTGCAATATCTTTAACCTTGGAATAGACTGACAAAACCATGTTAAGAATTGGGATTCTAAAGCACAGCTGTTTCAAAAATTTGCAGTGATTGACAACTCATACTACTTTGGAAAGATCTTAAATGATATTGGTTTTCTTGAAGAATCTGTGGGGAGGGTGTGAAACCAACTGTTCTTGCAATGTTAAATGTCCTCCCACAACATGGAATCCAGAAATATTTTAGCATTACATTTCACAGTGGGAAACCTTTTACTTCTCTGTTTATGATTTAGCTTTGAACAGTAACTATTATGCAAAGGGGCATAAATAAATAAATAGGATAAATAGGATTTTTGTTGTTGTTTATACCCACAACATGCTTCTAAATTTTTCAGTTCCTCCCACAAAAGTATTCTGAATCAAAACTAGAAATCTTTGGCTGCACTTAACTGAATTTACTGAGACATTGGTAACAGCTGTGTGTATTTTTCTTTTTTCCTCCAAAAAATATCAAAAGAGTAACTATGAACCAGCATATGCAACGTTATATGACCTGCAAAAGCAAAAGGGTAATAAAGAATTGATCATTCCTCTTTCTCTGATTCTTTTTTTACAACACATCAAGATACTATTATTACTGCAATGGAAAACACATTATTTTAGTAAAACTGCACAAATGTCTCCTAAAGGACAGTATGATATTATCTAGTCATTTTGCCCTTTACTTTTTTTTGTCTAAATAAAGAAAATGGACAACACACTTTGAAGTTTCCCTGAGTATGTTAAATTCAAAACACAATGACCTTTCACATTGTCTGGGAATGATCATATATAACATATTGTGAACACCTGATCAAACAGCTGCTAAAATACTCAGATTATTAATATAATACAATGAAAGTACCAGATGAAAATGGTTTCGGAACAGCTGCACTGAACTTTCTTGCTTTCTTTATTGCTCAAGATCATGCAGGAAATTAAACTATGAGTTCCTTTGTGAACTACTTCAAGAGACTTAGAGACACCCAGGTATGCAGTTTATCACTATTTTTAATATACATATTATTCAGGGCTAAAATTATATCAGGTAAATGCAGCAACTCAAGACAGGAACCTGAAAGAAATACCCTCACCAATTCAAAAAGATGGAATATTCCAGTTTATTAGTACTATTTAATGCTTAAACCTAGGCATCTGCAGACATTTTTCCAGTGAGAGATTATCTATATATCTACATCTGTCTACATGTGTGTTGATAGACAGACAGATAGACAGATGCACACACACATGGTGGAATTTTACTCAAGAAGAAGGTACATCTTAGCTAGGTCATACTGTTGAGATATATAGATACAGATATATAGCTATAGCTAGATACACACCCACACACACACTCACAGTGGAGTTTTACTCAAGAAGAAGATACATCTCACCTGGGACATACTGTTGATATTCCAAATGTACTAAGTATCTACTCCAGTTTTAAAATAATGAATTAGCACCTCCTCCTCCCCCAATTCCATGCCCGTACAGGTAGTCCCCAGTTTAAGAATGAGTTCCATTCCCAAGGTCTGTCCTTAAGTCGAAT